CAGTCTTGTGCCTCAGCTAATTTGTTCCAGCTACCACACACAGTGGGTGTCAGTTACACGATAAGCGACAAAGATCACCCAGCAATTTTTCTGTAGGGATGAATAGAACACTTTAAAGAGCAGTTAGGCTGATTCCCAGCTACGCCTGAAATGTCCCACACAGGTTGGTCAAACAGCGGAAGAGGCGCAGTGGCAAGAGTCAAGCCGGATGAACTGCTTTGATAATATGTTCACTTCCTACTAGGTGATTGAACAGTGTGTCTTCGGGTAACAGCCACTGCCCTGTTTGACCCGAAAACTAACTTTGACTTTGGAAAATACTTGAAACCCATTGGGTAGTCATCGGGTTCCGAAAAATTTGGTCACAATCGGTAGATTTATTGCTGAACAACGTTTAGCTTTTGACACAAGTGACTAGGTTCCGAGTTTGTCGAGATTTAAAGGCGAAAGGACAACCAATCAGCTAAGTCAAGCTAAATATCTGTTGCGTGTCGGGCGAGGGATTTTAGTGTGTTAGAGTGGTTGAACAAGTGTTGGGTCGGTGGGGAAACCTAGGGTCCGGTTGATGGTTCGGTTCCTCTTGAACGTCGTTTGAACTTTCTGTTTATCTGTGTGGGTGAGCTAGTGCTAAGATAGTTGTGTAAGTGGGATAACCTTTGGTCTGGTCTGGTTGGGATTTCCACCCCACCCCCATTTTTTTCCAATGATTCTATGTGGATCAACAACCACCTCGTCACGTCTCAACTCGGCTTATCTAAGACCGCTTTCCATACGCTCGCGAGTTCCCCACCCTCGATTCTATTCACGCAGTAATTTCCACCGCCTCAGCTATCAGCCTGACAGTGTCTCAGTCCTCGTGCTTCCTTCGGTGACATGGCAGCTAGGTCTTACAGGTGATGAACCGGTCTTTGACACTGCGATTGGAGATACTGGACTGGACTTCATCACAAAAACTCATCCTTCGCGGAATCAGGATTCAAACTCTTATACTTCAGGATAGTGTGATAAATAAGGTTTGGAGAACACATCTGAAGTACAACTTTTGAATACACAAGGAAAACCCAGACCCTAACTATCATTATTAGTGCACTGTTGTTGATGATGGTCATAATACGATTCAGAAGGTACATGCACTAATAACAGTCTTTACTGTGATTGACAGTAGTTTACAGAAGCTGTTTGCAGCATGTATAAAATGAAGGTAGTGTAAAATGTGGAGCAAGTCAAAAGGGAACTTGTTGTGTGTGGGAGTCCCTTGGTGAAAAACCGGACGCGAGGAGCATGTTTTCTTCGCAGTATAGCTGCTATACGTGTTCCATAATTGTCCGTGGGCTTGTGTAGAGTGGTTGACTTCCTGCTCCCTGCGCGCGCGCGAGTCTGTGTGTGCTGACTGTGTTCGGTTTCNTCCCTATATGTAGGTCGTGTACGTGGGCGCGTCAGCACATGAATAGTTGCTACGCTCACTAGACGGTACAGACAATCGATGTCCGATGAGTCACCTTAATGTGACGTGATTTGCGAGTATGAAAAAAGACAAGTCTCGTGATCCAGTGAGCGACTGTGAGCTGAACAGTCAAGTATGTGAATGACTGGGTATCTACATCGTCACATTCTCATGATAAAGAACAAACAAAGGATCTAATCGTTTGCGTGTTATTGACCTCACAGCATGTCACGTGGTTTTACTGTAGTAATCGTTTGCGTATGGTATTGACCTCACAACATGTCACGTGGCTTCATGTATTTTTTCTCAAAACGTGGATCAGGGTTTGTTTTCATAACAGTGTGAACGTTATATCCCAAAAGTTTGTTATCTGAGCGTAATGGGGTTTACTGTCTGATGCAAAAGATGAAACCGTGCGTTCTATGTTGGTCGTCATACAGTCGTAATCCCTTTCTACCACAGCCTCATAAATACCAAACAAATTTGGTCGTATTAGACAACGTCCCCTACTAGGCAGGGGGCCGCTGAAGGAGGATAGGTATCAATCATCTTTCCACTTTTCTAGCAAACAATTTCAAAGCTATGACTCGTTATTCGACAAATTTGCCCATTTGGGAATCTATCAGGAAGGTCAGCTTGCTGAACGCAAGCCCGAAATCTACCGAGTTTCTCAGCTCCGCTAGATGTTGACCAGACAAACAACACCCCCTCAACATGCAGCGCGTCACAGCCTTGTATCAAACCAAGGCAGCGCGAGTCAGCGTTGATCAAGGTCAGATAACGCCCCCGCAATATGCGACACGTCACAGCCTCGTACCAAAGCCAGACCGTGTGCATTGAACTAAGTTCAAACAGTGTCCTTCCAATAAATAGCTTGAGACCGTTGTACTTTTCGCACTCGCACGCACTCACGCTCTCGCACTCGCTTGTTCGGAATACAGCTGTTGTGTTCCCTTTCTGTGAGTCTTTTTCTCCGGCACTAGGCGCTGGAGTGGGTCGGCACCAGATACCTCAGATTGGCGAAATCAGCAGATATAACAAAATCAGTTTCGTTTTCACGGCAAACGCACCTGAATTCCAGCTGACTCTCGTTTATTATCGAGGGTCCGGTTGAACCAGGCCTTTCATGTTGTGTTAGAAGGCATCTTCCGGTTGAATGTTATAGGCGGTTATTTTACGATGGAAACAATCGAAACCCACGTTAGAGTGGGTACGAATCCGGTACGAAAAATAGGATCCGGTGACTGGGTTCATGGTAGGTAGATGTAGATGACTTACAGTACATGTTCAATGATATTTCTGTTTATGCTCATTGCAATGATGATCTCTACTTGTCCTTTTAAGAACGTAGAATTGTAGGCGCAAGTACTTTCCACATTAGAGTGGTCTCACAGGTACAGTAGATGGTTATATATTTTAGTTCGACTCAATATTTGGGCCAGCCAGTTTAAAGGTGAGTCCCTTTGATCTACCTGCACTTTGAGGGCTTAAATTTCGAGAACCAGTAACAATGCCCATGAGTCAAGGGACATAAAAATCAATGAAGCTCCGGTGGACTTATAATTATTGCTCAGCGGTATTGTGACTCTATTTGTTATTATCAAACTTCGTTTGTTTGACTTTCCATCTTTGTACTGTCACATCACGCCAAAAGTTGTGGCACGTTGATTGGTTCTCGCACTGTGCAAACTATTTCGTCCTAGACAGTGGAAGTCGAGAGGCAGAGGTCGGGTTTGAACCACGGTCAGTAAATTCGCGCTCTAACCACTTGGACCATCTCGCCCCATCTATGGAGTATATCGCTCCACATCGCCCCCTAATCCCTGGTGACCACATTTCGTTATGGTCACTTATTACTCGGTAGTTCCAAACTCACACAGTGTACAAAGACGATGCATTATGTAAAATCTTGTTTTTTTAATCTCAGATCGATATATATTACACAATTGTGAGCATAGTACTTCCTGTCTATAAGTGCGCAGTCAGTTCGCTGTACGAATAGAAACGAGACTTTTGAAAGCCAGTGATCAACCTCGGTGTGTAACCTCGGTGTTCAACAGGTGGCGAAGAGGTATTTGCTTGTAGGGTCGATCTTGCTATGAGAGAATGGGCCCTTCATGGGTAAGCTCTCCATGCACGTTTTTTAAACTATGAGTCACATCAGACGATAACCAATGGCGCATGCACTAGAAATCTTTCGAGTGTTCTATCCTGCTTCATTAAGACACCCAAATTTGACACTCCCTGGTGTAGGGGGAAGCCACCACATCTTGGAACAGATGCTGAGATCTGTTGTAGTGAATTGGATTGGTTCTATTTGGACTCATTTTTTGGGAGAAGAACTTGGTCCAGTTCAGCTCACATAGCAAGTGAACTGAAGTTGTTGGTAAGACTTCCGACTAAATTGGATTGCTGTTTTTGATTATCCGTGGGCGTTATGCTGATGGCGGGTTCACTGAATCAAAAACTTGTGCCCTTCTAAATGCTGGTTTCCTATAAAGCAGAGGTGTAGAAAAAAGGGGATTATCAGACGCGTTCCATTTTTCTAGGTACTGTTTGGTCAAAGGTCCCTAACATAATGGGAATACCGCATCAATTTTTGGTCGACTATCAGAAAGCATGGCTGGCGAGAACCAATTCGTGTTGTGCCTAAAGCGCGCACTTCTTGCTTGTATGAATTCTATAAATTTACGGGAAATAATGGAGGGAAAAGCCCGAGAATTGTGAATGCAATCACTTTATGAGCCAGCATTCAACATTTTCATCAGAAGTTATCTGAAAAAGCTCGAGAATTGTAAAAGCAATTACTTTTTGTGCCAACATTCAACATTTTCATCAAATGTTATCTGATTACCTAATAGTGATCAATATCTTCACAGCTAGATAACAAAAGTAGACCTTGATGATGTGATAATCGAATTTATTGCACTTTTAACTGCAGTCGGACTTTTTCATTTGCTTGTGAAATTGTGGAACTGCCAGTCGATTCACCCTAAGGAAAATCTGACCTTCTCAGGAAGTTAGGTCTTCCGGAGGCTGTAATGTTGGCTATGTAGATTTCGATGATAGTATGAAGATCTGATCTTCAGTGGGACTGACTAACCCTTAGAGGTTCATCACTCACTCACTTGGTGCGCATCACGTCATTACTTGTTTATTTTAGGCGTAAGTTTTCCCGCTAGACTCAAGGCTAGCAAAAATCCCGAACGAATTACATTTCTGCTGACAGTTTTTCTGGCATTCTAGGTCCTCAAGCGACGGCGCGTACGAACCTCCATGTGTATTACGTCTCGTAGACAGTGATTTTCATGACCGGCTTGTGAATGCTTTTGACAGAGGTAAGTAAGTTTAGCTTTTTCTGTTCGAACAGCAATAATTTTCATAAGACCATCTTATGTCTAGCTTTCATACTAATTTGGTTTAGACGAGAGACCCACACGAGAGACCCACCTGGAACCCAGCTGAATCTCTCGTTTATGATATTTCCAATTATTCGCTCGAAGTAAATAACTTCGAACATTACCCGTGGTAGAATAGGCTGACAGAAGATGCACTTCCCCTTTTTAATACAGTGGGGTTTGCAAAAGCATCTTCCCACAGGAGCTGGAGCGAGACCCAACCAATCAAGTTCTAGCTTTCTCCCACCCGCTCAGCGCGCATCGTACGAAGCTTAGTGGGCAAATCGATAAAAAAATCGGTAGACACGCGCCGGCAAATAAAGCGGCTTATCCACACGACTGTAGATCACGCATCTTGAATAAGTGAGCGTGCATCAAC